AGTCCTTGCCCTCATCATCTGAGACTCCAGGCTTACTGAACTCACTCAGAAGAATTCTTGACTAAAAAAAGGCTTAACTGCTGGAATCAGGTTTCCTACCCCAAATTCCAGCACAGCCCAAATACTAAAACAAGACTGGTATGTTTTTCTTCTGCCTGCAGCACAGCACAAAACATATGGGACCATCAAAAGTTTACAGTTTTGGGACAAAAATGGCATGTAGCTTGCAGAGGATGAATCACACTAGAAAAACACATAACCTGAGCCTCATTATGAGAAATAAGAAGTTGTGATGAAGTCTAACAGAAAATCTGCTACTGCGATTCAAAAATCTTTTACAGAGACAAGAAAAAAGTATTTCCTTTACTATAAAAGATTATACTGGAGACACCTAAAAGATTGATACTGCTCTGCAAGACCTGTGGTGAGAGAAACACTAGATATCCTACACCTCAGGCATTTCATACGAATACATGTTAAGAGATCATATGTGAAACTGAATTTATTTCTGTGAAAATTTTCACAGCAGCTGAAGTCTGAAACGCAAGGCTGACAGCTGGCCTTGCCCCTCTGATGTGAATGACCAGACCACTAGCTGCTGTAGCTTTCAGGGAGTAAAGCAGATCCAAGCTTCCCCCTGTGTATTCTGCATTTAAATTCTGGTCATGGACTAAGGCAGAAAAATAAAACCAGATAACGATGTTTAGCAAATGTATTCTGTTTAGGAGGATCCCAATATGATCACACAGACAGTGTAAAATAAACAATCAAATAGAAAAACTTCTCTTTAGAATTATTACAAGTGTTTCCTTAAAACCCCCTCCCCAAAAAAAACCCCAAACAAACAACAAAAAAAAACCTCAGGGGATGATAGGAAATGATTTCCTGGGAACTGGTAGGAAAAAAAAAACAAGTAATAATCCAAAAACTGGAGTCAACAGGTATGTCAATCAAGTCATTCTCACCATTTAATCCTTTAAAGTGATTACCCTTGGGTTACCAGGTTATCTCTCATCCAGCTGTCATGTCACACACTCAGGAATGAGGAGATATCTCAAACAATGACTTCAAAGTCTTTGGCTATTTTTACTTTAAGCAGAATATTGCTAAACTATTTTCCATCAGTCCATGTCCTGCTTACCTATCCCAGTATCTAGACGGATTTGACTCCCTATTTGTTTTATTTGGCGGAGACAATATTGCAGAAGTTCACTTTTGCAGTTATAATTTTGTTTCTGATGTAATTATACTTTTCTGATGTAATTATACTTTTCTGATGTAACTATTGCTTTTCCCTGTGCTGTAATAGCACTTCTGCAGTGCCATTCACACCTCCCTTCTCCACTCATTTGCCAATTCCTTGTGTGATCTTTCCGAGCACAAACCGATAAAGCAATTGCATGTGGACATCTACAAATGGTTTATTTAAAAATGAAGTTTACAAATGACATTTACAAATTATGGCCAAGATTTTCTGTGGTTTCACCTGGATGAAAAGCACAAAAGATGGAAAGGGATTTACTCGAAGAGATGAGGAACCTTGTTGAAAACCTCAGAGATACCAGGCTGAGAACATCAATCACCAAAAACATCGGCTTAAGTCCTAAAGGTTCCATATTTCTATGATTCTAATATGAAGTGGTGTCTCATAAAGCCACAGGACTGCACTAAAGAGTGACACTCACTTTTCAAAAGATGGCACGTTTTCAGCTCTTATGAGAAAAATGTGCCAGAAATGAAACTAACGTAGAAATGTGAGCCAGGAAAACCCTCAAAACTCTGTCTCTCTCTGGGATGAATGTGTGATCTAGTCTTATCTAGAACTTACTCTCCTCTAGATCTTACTCTTCTCTAGAAATAGGTCATGTGAGGACAGGTTTTGAGGCTGGAATTGTTTAACCTGGAGAAAAGGAGGCTCAGGGGAGACCTTATTGCTCTCTGCAGCTCCCCAGTGGGATGTTGTTAGGCTCTGCTCCCAGGGAACAAGTGACAGGACAACAGGGAACGGCCCCAGGCTGTGCCAGGGGAGGTTCAGGTTGGACATCTGGAAGAATTTCTTCATGGAAAGGGTGGTTTGATGTTGGATTTGGCTGCCTAGGGAGATGGTGGAATCACTATCCCTGTAGGTGTTCAAGAAGTGACTGGATGTGGCACGTGGTTGGTTTGGTTGACAAGGTGGTGAATGGTCAGAGGTTGAATTTGATGATCTTGGGGGCTTTTCCAGCTTTAATGATTCTGTGATTCCATCCCTTCAGTCACGTAGATGCACCCATGAGAAACCTTCTTTTAGGAGAAAATCTTGATCTGCTCTCATGACTGCTGCAAAATCAAGTTCTTTGTATGTGCACATCCAGAGGAAAAGATAGTCTTTGCCTAGAGAGCAGTATGGGCGAGATGGACATAAGAAAACAGATAGGAAAAAAAAAAAAAGAGTTGTTCCAGTCTATTTGGTTTCTGGGGAAATTTGGCAAAAGAAGTAACTAGTTTTCCCAAGTGAGACATGAGATCTGGGAACTGCTCTTAAATGCAGTGAATACCTTCATCCCATTTCCATCTCTGCTCTCTTAGGTTTGTCAAACAACTTGAATAACACTTATCCAAATACCAGTACAGAGAGGACTCATACGTAATACTGGAAAAATATTACCTTACAAAAAACCCAAAACCACCACCAGCAACAACAATAAAGAGGAGGAAACTAGCTCTCACCTGAAGAGACATTATGCTGTAAAGAACAAAAAATGGTCCTGAGAACAATCCAAAAACCAAAACTAGTTGGTGTTTTTCAGGCCAGACTGCTCCCCCGTGATATGTTGGGACCATATCCTCACAGGTCTCACTGTCTTCCTTACACCCCTGAGGACACAACTTAGTGAGCAAGTTCAGGGAAAATCTTCAGCCAATTCCTTCATAAGTTTGGTTGGTTGGTTAGTTGGTTGGTTGGTTGGTTGGTTGGTTGGTTGGTTTGTGTGTGTGTGTGTGTGTGTGTGTGGTTGGTTGGTTTTTTCCCAAATTTTTGGCAAAATGCAAAATTTTATATCACTCTGCAGAGATAAAATCTAAAATGGAAGAATGCATACTACAAATTTCCAGGCTTTTGTGGTTCTTTGGTCAAACTCATCTCTGCTAAACCTCAAGCTTTGTTTCAAATAAAATGTACTGGATGACTTTTTTTTTTAATATTTAAACATGTAACTACAGTCGCAGGTGAGATTGGCAAAATGCAAAATTCAACATGTCTTCTCTTTAATTATTGTGTATGGCTAAAACTCCTTTCTCTAAACTCACTTTGCACCTCCCCAAAGATTGGCTTTGAACACTTTTTTCATTCACTTCTGACTCCCACTTCATGATAGGATGAGGTTTTCCTCAGAGGACCTAGGCAGGGTAAGAAGTGCAGAGCAATATCTCTTGTCTACACAGTGCAACTTCAAGACTTTGTGGATCTGCTCTCCATTCTGAGCTGCAGCTCTACAGGATTTTGGTCAACTAAAAGAAGGTATTTTGGTACCTCATTTAAGCTTTCTGAGTACGAGCACTTAAAATTCATGTACTTTGAATTCTCAGAAAAAGATGTCAATCCAAAAACCTTTTATCAGCACATTATGTTCTGTTAGTGAGATAATCAAGGTTAGAGTAACTGCTTATTGGCTAGCACAGAAACCAAAGTCATCTCACCTTTTGGCTAATCAAATCCTAGCTGAATGCAATTTGAATAGTTTGCAAAAATAAATAAGATAATTGAGGACAAATTGAGTTCTAAATGATGTGTTGAAGAGTAGGCAGGACAGCAAGCAAAGGCCATTTGCTCATGGGACCCCTTTGAAATATTTTTAGATAGATCTTCATAATTTTTAAAAAATGAAAAAGAAGCCCCATTGAACTTGTAGGGAAATGATGACACAACATCAAAAAATAAGTATTCCACAGGTGAGCCTTTTCAAAATGTGATAAAAATTGTAATGTGGGAGACAAACATAAAAAAAGCAGTCACACTTCCAGGTAGGAAAATGCACATGAGAAATTCAATCTGATTCCCACAGATGACAGGGATCATCATGCAAGACAAATACTTTCTCAGGTGCCTCCATAGATCAGGTTTAGCCCTTACTCACTGTTAACTGCCCACAAAAGCAGATAACAGGGCTGGAGGGGAATTCAGAGCCAGGTGATCTTTGCCTACCACAACTGTATCTAAGTGGTGTTTTTTTTGACAAAGATACCTCCAAGGGATTTTTAAAAACCTCTGAAAATGGTACATCTGCAACCACTCTGTGCTTCCTTAACAATTCTTACAGTAGGAATTTTCCCCTAATTTCCAGCTTAAATCTTTACTGCAATTTAAACCCATTACTGCTTGCCTTAGCCCCAGTGGACATGAAAAACACTTTATTCATTTCCTTTCTGCAGCCATTTTTTACACATTTGAAGATACTTATGTGTCTCCTCACTGTTCCCTACTCTAGACTAAACAAATTCCATCATGCTGAATATTCAAGACCTCAGTGGCTATTTACAGAGTGCTCATATATCAGGGCACAGCAGACCTGAATGACAGTCTGAACTCCTTGGTAAGTGATGGCTCTACTTGTCTGTCCCAGGGGAACAGTTTAGGCTGAGGAAAAAAGGAATGTGAATGAACTTGAGGTATTTTATGAGTGAGTTCAGATGCACACTGTGTGTTCCTTCCAAAGATGTAAATGGATATTGTGGAACTAACCAGCCTCCTCTAGAAGAAAAAAAGAAGAAAGACAAGCCAGAGTGAGGTGGTAGCTTTCCAGGAAGGGGTGAGAAGATTGTCTGGACTCAAAAAAGAGTCTTTTTGCTCTTACTAAGTCTGCTTAAGAGGTAAGGAGCTGAAGAATATCATAGTGTGCCCTGGAACTTCAGCCTTCCATCTACAGCACTGTGAAAGCTCTGTTGATATCATAAAAGTCATCTAAAGGTCATAATGTGCAGAAAAATACATGAAGTTTAGGTTTAAGATTTCAGGGCAGACACCGATGCCCAGGAAATCCCACCTGAACATGGGGAAGAACTTCTTTCCCGTGTAGTGACTGAATGCTGGAACAGGTTGCTCAGAGAAGGTATGGAGTCTCCCTCACTGGAGATATTCCAGATCTGCCTGGATACAACCCTGTGCCCCACGCTCTGGGATGAGGCTCAACCAGATGACCCACTGTGGTCTCTCCCAGTCTTACCCATTCTGTAACGCTGTGATTCTCCTGAGTTGTGTCAACAGCAGACTGAGCACCAGCGTCACAAACTGCCGAAGGACTCACCACTCACCTCTCTCCTCTTTGTGCCCAGTGTAAAGTCCTTTTTTTATTATTATTATCTTGGCTAATACAGACACATGGAACTGGGCACAGATGAAGAAAAGAAAATCCACAGGCACTCTTTCCCTCCTGTGGAGAGTGAGCCCCACTTGACAGATGCTAATTATATCACTTAGAGTTATACTAGAGGGTGCTCACATACTGAAGAGATGGGAATGGATATATAAATACAGTAGATTTCATTATGCAGTAACTCTGGATTTGAATAAAACCTAGACTGACTGTCAATGATGCTGTTGTAACTGAGTGGTGTGAAAAGGGAGAAAGAGTGTTTCCTTCCCACATCTAATCTTTTCAAGAATTCTTCCAGATAGATAATTCTGAGATTTATGGGGAATTTGTCTTAATGCTGCACTGCCTTTCTCCTCTTTCTAAACTCAGCACCTGAATATTTTCCAGAAATAGTAAGCAGTGTAACTAAGCATCTGTCAGGTGTTTGCTCTCTCATCTTCCCAAGGGCAGAAGCAAGACTGTGTGTGTAAGGGGAAGCAGATGGCAGGGTAAGCATATTCTGTATACACGGATGTGGTGAGTGCACTAATATTGTTTAAATACCAAATCCGCAATAGCTTTGCTTTAAATAGCAATGTATCAAGCTAGGGGGGATGAAAGTCATGGAAATGTATTGAGGTAGAAAGCTGTGTAGGAGAGGACATGAGCGAGAGAGAGATGTGCAGTGCTGCAACAAAAAGGCACCACTGGATTAGCTCTCTAATCTGCAAACAGTCTATTGATTAGGTACTATTAGAAGACAAAAGAATAAAACTGCAGTGTAGTTCAGTGGCTTTTGTAGAACTAACAGGGAAAAGCTGCCAGCTGAGAAAGACGTGCCCAGAGTGATGGTGAGAGGGGCAGAAGGAAGCCCAGAATGTTGATTTGCACCTGAGAGAGACCAGGAGCTTAAAGGAAGGCACTGCTGACTGACCTTGAGATGTGGACACTGTATACTTGCTCTTTTTATCATTCTTTTATTACCTTGAGAGCCAAAGTCCACCAGCTTGGCTGCCCATAACACTGAAAAGCAGAAATTTCTGAGGAACAGAGGCAGCTTTTGGGGCCAGCAGGATAAGCATGACTGGCCCTGAGAGCACAGAGTGGCCAAGTGACAGCAACATGATTGCCCTGATACCTGTCAGGGTAGGGGACAGAGCCCTGGGACCTCACAGTTCCAGCTGAGGCTTTTTCACAGGAGATAGGAAGCAGGCAGCGACCCTGAAGTAGCCTTACCATGGTGAGGGTAACATTAAATGGTTATTGTAATTAATGAAAGCGGTAAGTAGGTCATTGTATCTTATCCAATTTCCTCCCTCATTTTGTTTTCTTCCCTCTCTTTAGGAAAGCACACTTCCTCTACACACTTGATTGCTTGTTTGCAAATGGGAAGCGCTTTTTATGGAGCACCCAGATGGTACAACATGCTTGTCATTATTGTCCAAACATGAGCAGCTCGTATGGAGGCTCAAGGCAGTGCTTATTAATGAACCTTAAAAACAATGAAACCTACCAATCAAAGACTAGGAAAAGGTCATAAATACATCTCTTTGTAAGTGCTTCTCTCACTACACAAGACCCGATGTTGCAAATGTCGGGTGCAGGTTGATGTGCTATGGGAGAGATATGAAAACTCAGGGTAGGATATCAAGTTATTGTGAAAAATTGTTCTTTCTCTCTGGACTTCATATTTTAATGAGGTTTTTTTGGTTCTGTCTGTTTTGTTTTGTTTTGTTGTTGTTCGTTTTTCTTGAGGGAGATAGTGAATTTCTTTTCATCACAAAAGATAGTCCAGATTACTTTTATGTAATGGAAGTGCTAAATGTCACCTTTCTCTTTTTTAGTCCTACTACAAAGCCCAAGGGAAGCTCTTACAAAAGCCTGCAAAGAGGCAGGGGAGAAGAGTAAGAAATTGCAGACCAGTATTAGCAATTGTAGAAAGTGGGAAAGCATTTTGAAAAGATTCAATTAGGATAAAGGAATGCTCATTCACTTGGGGAATATAAAGTCTCAGCAAACACAGGAACAAGAAGAGTACAGCTATGGCAAAGGCTCTAGAATTAAGAAAGGAGGGAAAAGAACAGAAGCTCAAGTCGAATTCATTGTGAGGCTAAAGATATAATTTCTGTTTGTTCATGTATAATGTTTCTGTCAGAACCAATGGGTTTGTGGGGTATTCTATTTTAAAAAATATTTTTCCCATGTTGCAAATAATCTAAAACTCATGAGTCTCTGTAATAACTCAAACATATAATACCAGGAGCTTACATTTTTCCATATATTATTTTCCATAAATTATCTATGTCTGTTATATCATAGGGGTCAAAATTAAGGGATTTCAAGGGATGAGTCATATTCATATTTTTAGACTTGTCCATGAGAAATTTCACTGTAAGAGCACCCATAAACTTTATCTCTATCCCCTCCCATACTAAAGATTATAGGTATGGAGTGTTCATGAAAGACTGATCATATAATAAACTTTTTTAGCCTAGGGTTTAAGACTCTTTCCCTGTGTGCAAAACCACAGCTAGAACCACTATTAATGAGACATGTCAAACTGCAGACAAATTAAACTTACACGTCCTCACTTGAAAATGTCATTGCAGGCAAAACAATGGCAGGTTCAAAAACAAATTTCTGTTTTATTGCACCCTCTCAAAGGTAATTGGGCTCTGAAGTGGGAGCCCAATTGAGATCCTTTTAGAAGCAACAGAAATACAGCAAGGTCTGAATGATCTGAAAGTGACATCATATAAGCCATGGTTCAGTGAGATACTGAAGCAGGTGTCTAATTTCTGTGGGACTGTCCAAATGCCTAAAACACAGAGGATCTGCATTTCAAATCGAATCGTCTGCTCCTCAGATTAGAGGTAGACATGTATCAAAGTGTCTTGCTGAATCAGAGCCAAGCCTTAGGCTGAACCCTACAATCTCTGGTTCGTTTTAAAGATGACCTTATAAAAGTAGTTATTTGAAAGTAAGCTGTGTTTTTCCAATGGTTGTTTATTCTCTCTTTTCCTCCTGTGACTGTCTGTTCTCTCTGGGGCTGCATGACCATCTCCCCTAAATTCCCTTCCTACAGTTTTGGTCCACAAGGTGGCAAAATGTAATAAAGCACATCCCTGAGTTTCTGCCCTGCAGTTCACCTTAAATAAAAAAAAAAAAAAAAAAAAAAAAAA